GCTAAATAAAGTCTCATTTAAGCCTTGGAATTTCTTGCTATAGTGGCCATTGAATGTGGAATTTTCATTTTAAGTTGAGAATCCTAATTAGTTGATGATTTCCCAGATATAGCCGATATTGACCAGATCTTGTTTTAAGTGCCAGTTTGGAGAGGACATAGTTAATGTGTTGAATTGTTAGCATCGGTTGCTTTGCCGGCATTTGAAATTTAAAACTTGATCATGTTGCAACTCCCTTTTAGAAGCCTCAAATAGAGTTATGTTGGAGGATATGTTATTTGAGGACCTCCCCTGTTTTCAGTGTTCTAATGATTGAAGTCCTCATTTTACTTATTTGAGGACCTCCCCTGTTTTCAGTGTTCAAATGAATGAAGTCCTCATTTTACTTCTGGTAAATTAATAATACTAAATATAAATATTCCTTTTTTATTTGGTAAGTAGGTCACAAGCATTCACCAACAATTCCCCTTTATGGGGGATTTGAAGTTCCACTGTAAAAGTAGAGGACATATGTTAGAGGGGACTTGTCCCATATTTCGGATGGAAAAAGACTTGGGTACATATGGGCAAGTATGCAGCACAACCCAACAAATTAAGCTTTTGGGTTAGAGGGCAAGCATTCGTTCAAGTATGGTCAAGCCAGACCTAGTCTTTGATATGGTGTCACACTTAGCACCACCCGGGTATTTATGTATTTATTTTGGGGCGGGGGGATGGTCTGGGTGGTACAATCCCAACTTGTAAGTTCAGGTGGGTGAGAATGTTAGAGGAGGCTTGTCCCATATCTATCTGGATGGGGACAGACTTGGACATATATGGGTGGGTATGCAGCGTTACCAAACAACTTTAGCTTTTCTATTAAATGGGAAATGCCTGGCCCGTCACAACATACTACTACTAGAGATAACTACGTTAATTTTAAATTTGTATGTGTATCATAGAGCATCAAAATTAGATATGTCTTTCTCATAGTTATGTCATTAATATTTCTAATGCCCCATCTAATTTATGTGCATTTGTTTCTTAGTAGGTATGCCCAGAATGACTGCTTACGCTGGTTTTTATGAGATTTGTACTCCTAAGAAAGGAGAATATGCATTCGTCTCTGCAGCATCTAGTGCAGTTGGTCTGCTTGTTGGGCAGTTTGCAAAGTTGATGGGGTGCCATGTTGTTGGAAGTGCTGGAAGTAAAGAAAAGGTGAGTCTTATCTCTGTAACTTTTCATTTTTTCACTAGCCATTTCTTGGTGGATGTTTTTTGGGATATCTGCAAGGTAATGCTTCAGTTACATATTGATAGTCTTCCTTAATTGTGGGTATCATCATCCTGTCATGCGTATTATATAGTCATTCAAAATTAAGAACTGAAAGTTAATTACATTGGGACAAATTACAAAACTATGACCTTTATTTTATTCTATTATTTTCCTATTTTTTTAATTCAATTTCTTACTTGAATGTTTTTGCCAATGATTTTTGACAATTCTCAATGAAAATTTTCAAAACCTCATATAATCCTGATATTGAACAATTTTATTTTTCTCTTCCCACTGCATGGTTGTACTATTCATGGACTCCAAAAAATTTGCTGTAACACGCGCCTGTCTCATTCAGTGAAAATATTGAGGTTTTGTTCGAATTGATAATTTAAAATGATGGAATTTGAGATTCAATTCACAAATATTGACTGGAGTAAATTTGGAGAGATGGGAGACAGCATAGAGGAGTTAGGAGAATTACCAACTTGTCTCTTTGCAGCAAGTGATTCATGCGATGAATTTCAATTAACTGCTACATCACTCTAATAAAATAATAGAAACTAGTTTGACAAAATTCTAAAGGAATGGAATATACAAAATTCAACTAGTTTGATCTATTAATTGTTTTATTTCTTATGGGCAAAAATGTTGCAGTTGGATAATTCAATCCTCAACAGTAGCTAAAATTTTGGTTTTGATTTTAATTTGAATAAGGTTGATCTGTTGAAGAACAAGCTTGGCTTTGATGATGCTTTCAATTACAAGGAAGAGCACGACTTGGATGCCGCTCTGAAAAGGTCAGTGTCTTTATTTTGTACATTGAAGTCCAAAATATTGCTTTAAAACTCAAGGGCATTGCTTGTGAGTTAAAACATTCTTTTTTGTGTTATAAATATAACTCTCTTTTCAAATCCATCACTATGACTGACATTTAACAGCATAATAAAATAAAACACAAGATTGTCATCCTTTCTCAAAATGCTAATAGTGAATAATAAGTAATCAGAATTCTCACCTTATGATATCGTCAACTCACCCTAGCTGAAATGTCTTTTGTTTTGAAATTTGATTGTTGTAATGATCTATGAAGCTAACGGTAAAAGTTATTTGCATGAAATATTTGATTTGTTCATGGATATATGTTCCTCTAACTGCAAATCTGAGATTGATTTTAAACCATATAGGATGAATGGCATGGTCACCAGCATTCATTGTTATTGTTAAACTCAAAAATTAAAATTTGTAGATAGTAACATAGAACTCTAAATTTAAACCTATCACATTGTGAAAAAAAAAAACAAGAAAGACGACAGAAATTTTCAAATTCAGTAATTTGTGTTCATTTGTATAGGTTATATTATTTGAAGAATTGCTTATGTCTCTAATTGCAAATCTGAGATTGATTATACCATATAGGCTGAAGTGTGTGCATGGAAATCATTTACCCAAAAATTTAAAGTTGTCATATCAAAATAAAGAACTGAGATTTTGGTTTAAAGCATGCATAAAACAAGAAACCAATTAATTACTGCAGAAAAAAGAAACAAGAAAGAAAAGAGAACAAGAAGTAAATAGAAGACAGTGTGCTAATGTGCTATATAGTTCAACAGTTGTGTATATAAAAAAAGGCGAGTGAATAAATAATCTAGTTTAATTGGAACTCCATTGGTCTCAGAGAGAGTACTGCAGCTTTTTCCTCTCGAACACTCTTGTCCTTTGGCTTTGACTACACATTCATATTGTTATGGCGGGAGAGAGTATATCCTCTGATCTCAATCATCAGATGGAAAAGAGAAATCAAATGATTAAGAATGCAATACACTCCTACTTAAAAGAGGTTCCCGTAAATTACATTTAAAGGAACCCCACTAAGACCACTGTGATAATATGACACTAGTTCAAGATTAGCTCTATTTTGTTAAATGATGTGGCTGCATCTGTATATAAGAGGACAGTAACATTCGAGGTAGCATATTGATGGTTGCCAGGTACTGTCCTGAATGTATTGACATTTACTTTGAGAATGTTGGGGGAAAGATTCTGGATGCAGTGCTCCTCAACATGAGGAACCACGGCAGGATTGCTGTCTGCGGAATGACGTCACAATACAATCTTGATAAACCAGAAGGAGTTAAAAACTTGACGCGCCTCATCTACAATAAAGTGCGTATGGAAGGATTTAGAGTTTTCGAATACTATCCCCAATATTCCAAGTTCTTGAATATTGTCCTGCCTTCTATTAGAGAAGGGAAGATAACATATGTGGAAGACATTGTTGAAGGCCTTGAAAGTGGCCCTGCAGCTCTTGTAGAACTTTATAGTGGCCTCAACATCGGAAAACAATTAGTTGTAGTCGCTCGTGAATGATTAAACCTTCTGGTGTACATCCTTTCCCACTGATGCATTTTGAGTGTTATGCATGAATACAATGTAGCCCTACTCAAATTACATTGTTTGGATCATCCCTGTTTGGGTTTGAGGGAGATAGTATTGATTACTCTATTTGCTGGTGGTATTATGTACTTTGTAGAAAGAAATAATGAGATGTGTTGTTTACCTGTATTTATGAACTATACAAAATAATACATGAGGTTAGATTTATAAAACTGAGTTTTATTCTTTAAAGTGCAGCATCAAATCATTAACCAAACATTCATCTGTTTTTTTTTGGGAAGAACATTTTAGACTTGGAAGCCTGTTTTGAGACCTTGAAACCCTTAAAACGAGGCTTCAAGTAAACCCTTTCCCCGGCTTCTCCGGACACGTAAAATCCTCTTGACAAAAGATTTTAAGTTAACTATGAAACTACTTAATTTGACCCTCCTTTCTATGATTGGGATCAGTTGTATGAATAGTGTTGTTTGATAAAAGTGAAGATTTTTTTTTTCCTTGATAAAAGTGAAGGTTGAGTACAGAAAATTTTAAGTACTTAAAAATCACTTAAAATTAAAGTGCGAAAAATTTCAGAATCATTTAAAAAAATCACAACTCTCAAAGGATGTAACACCTATTTTTTTTTTTTTTTTTTTGTAGACAAGAATACATCATTTATTATTTCGAAAGTGCAATATATTACTTTGAAAGTATAATATAATCACTTCCAGTTGGTAATACTTATTACTTCGAATGTGCAATACTCATTACTTAAAAGTAAAACGTATTGAGATCCATAAATAACCGTTTGCATTCTTCAAACAAAGTACTGTATATACAAGATTTTTTAGTACACTGTAAATGACATGAGTGAAGTATGCGGCAAACAACTATACGGTCCATCCCACATGGGGTGGGTGCTAGAAAATTTGAGAACCAAACAACTTGTGAGTGATGACCATTGAAGACTGTTTCTTTTACATTTCAGTACATACTCATTACTCTCCCAGACATCTGGGTCCACATCTGCCAACTCCAAAGAGATTTTCTTGTCATTTCAAACAAATAAATTTTTATTACCACTGCCAAGGTTAAAAGTGCCAACTAAATTTTTAGTACCAACTATCATATAGTGATTAATTTTAGTTCAGACTATGACAATAGAGCGACTCTGGTCCAGACAATGACAATAGAGCAATTCTGGTCTAGACTATGACAATGCAACAATTCTGGTCCAGACTATGACACTTATACATATTAGCTGATTATTTATATACTTATACATTCAGTTTTTCTCAATCCTTTCAATTTCATCAAGGGGCTCATTCTACTGCTGCACAAAGAAACTATTGATCATCTCTTCCAAAAATATGGAAGAAGCACTTCTTACTGAGATTGTGAAGAAGTTGGGTTGGGTTTTCTTTCTCCAAGAGATGGGACTTGTGTGGGGCGTCAAGGATGAACTTGACAAACTCAGAGACACGGTTTCCACAATCGGATCAGTACTTGTTGATGCAGAGGAGCAGCAAGCCACAAACCATGAGGTTGCTGACTGGCTTGAAAAACTCAATGATGCATTTTATGATGCTAATGACTTGCTTGACGACTTCTCCACCCAAGCTATCCGCAGTCAGGTTATGACTCGGAACACAAGGCTCAAGAAGGTACACAATTTCTTCTCATGCTTGAATCAGCTTATTTTCCGTAGTAAGTTGGCTCATGATATTAAGGCCATTAATGAGAGACTAAATGCAATTGCCGAAAACAAGAAAAAGTTCCACCTCACTGAACGGCCTATAGTTGAGAATAGTAAGTGGGAGGAGAGCCACTCTTGTGTTCATGCCGAAACTGTTATCGGGAGGGATGGTGATAAAATGGCAATTGTCCAACTTTTATGGGAAAGCAACGTTCCAGATGAGAATGTGTCAGTTATTGCAATAGTTGGAATTGGGGGACTAGGAAAGACCGCATTTGCACAATTGGTATACAATGATGAGAGGGTCACTAAACATTTTCAACTTAAGATGTGGGTCTGTGTCTCTGATGTCTTTGATGTGAAGTTAATTGCAGAAAAGATCATACAGTCTGCAACAGGCAAAATGCCTTAAAACCTTTCGATGGATAAATTGCAAGAAATGCTTAGTAAAGAAATTCATGGAAAGAAATATTTACTTGTGTTGGATGATGTGTGGAATGAGAACCGCGACGAATGGTTAAAATTAATAGATTTGTTGTTGAGTAGTTTGAGGGGAAGTAAGATCTTAGTAACTACTCGTACTGAGTTAGTTGCAAATGTTACAGGTACAAATTCACCATATTTTTTAAAAGGCTTGTCTAAGGAGGAGTCTTGGTCTTTATTTAAGAAAATGGCATTCAAACAAGGGAAAGAGCCGGAGAATACATTTCAAGTAACAATTGGCAAGGAAATTGTTCAGAAGTGTAAGGGAGTCCTTCTTGCCGTAAGGGCTTTAGGAAGCCTACTATACTCTATGATGAGTGGTTGCTTTTCAAAAATAATGATTTGTCAAAAATAGTTGAAGAAGAGGATGTTATTTTGCCGATACTAAAGTTTAGTTATGATTACCTTCCTTCACATCTGAAGAGATGAAAAGCTTTTTGTTCTTTGTATTTGAAAGATCAAAAAATTGAAAAGCAAAAATTAATCGAATTATGGATTGCAGAGGGATTCATTCGGCCAATGTATGAAAATCAACATTTGGAGGATGTAGGTGATTTGTATTTTATGAACTTAGTGAGGAGATCCCTTTTTCAAGATGTTGAAATAAATGAATGGGGTGATGTGATAAGTTGTAATATGCATGATTTTGTCCATGATCTTGCACAATTAGTTGTGAGGGCCAGATTTTCCATGGTGAATTTGAATGTAGAAAATATTACTGAAAGAACTCGGCAAGTGTCACTTGATTCTGATGTAAATTCATTACGAAAAATTTTAACCCAGTTGGTTAAAGCTACCAAGGTACAGACATTTATTTTGAATGTTGAAAATGTTGTAATTTTTGATAATTTAATTTCTGAAGGGATTCTTTCAACGTTTAGAAGGTTTCGTGTATTGGATTTGCACTCCGCAGATATTAAGATTGTGCCAAGTTGCATAAGCAAGATGAAACATTTAAGATATCTTGATCTGCTTAGAAATCGTGGTATCAAGACTTTGCCAAATTTGCAAACCTTAAAACTCAATGGATGTGAGCGTCTTAAAGAATTGCCAAGAGATTTTAAAAGATTGGCCATTCTTAAACATCTTGAGCTTGACGACTGTGATGCCTTATGTTATGAAATAAGGATCGAATAGGAGTTTATGAGAACAAGAGAAAAATTAATGACAAGAAAATAAATAGGCACACACAAACGAGACAAGGATTTATACGTGGTTCACCCTCACAAATAGGGTTACGTCTACGGGCGATGATGATTTGTATCATTATAAAGAAGAAGATTACAAACTGAAGAACGTTTTGGTTCTTCCTCACAATAATCTCTCTTCTCACACCACTCACTCACCAACAAAGAAGACTCACTCAACACTCAAGAAATACCCCAAATAGTATATGGTTTACACAAAGAGAAAAACCCACCCAAATACAAACTTCAACTCTCTTGAAGATTGTACACACAAAAGGATTTTCTCACACATACAAAACCAATATACTCTCTTGATCCGAATATTGTCTTACTCTTGGATGCCTTTCGGATGCCTTCATCAAATGTGTGCAAGGCTATATATAGCCCAAAAATACTTGGTGTCCAAGTATATTTCAAAGCTTCTTTTGGAAGCCAAATGACACTTGCTGCCCAAGAATTACTCTTGTTGCCCAGGAATTTCAAAGCTTCCTTTGGAAGCTAATTTGGAAGCTTCACCATCACACTTGCCATGTCATAAATGAATTTTAAACATATTTCTAACACCTTAACTAGCAAGCTGAATGGATTGGGTGAGTTGATGTCTCTTTTGACATTAACATTGTTTGCAACGGATTCAAATAGCCGATTAAGTGAATTGCATAGTCTAAGCAATTTGCGGGGAAGGTTAAAAATTGCTCTTCGACGTAGGGATTCATTTGTCCACCTGTCTTCTAAAAGAGCAACAGCACAGGGAATAATACAGGGGACAAACTACTTGAGGACTACAGAATACCTTAAGGAGCTGGTATTAAATGTTAGGCAGTTGGAATTGTTGGAAGCCCTATGTCCATACCCAAATTTAAAGAAGCTGCAAATAGAGTTTTATCCGGGAGTGAGTTTCCCAACTTGGATGATGGTTGGCGAAATTAGGTTATCCCTTCCAAATCTAGTCCGAATTTATATGTCCTACTGTAAGGGATGTAAACATCTTCCACCATTTGGGCAACTTCCTTCTCTCCAATTTCTTAGTGTTGAATCCATGAAATCCTTGGAGTACATAGACGACATGCGTACTGGCAATGAATGCCTCTCTTCATCAGCAACATCAACATCCTTCCCTTCGCTGAAAGAACTCCAACTCTCGAGGTTGCCTAATTTGAAGGGATGGTGGAGGAGCGAAGCAGAAGAAGAAGGAGCAGCCCAATAGCAACAACAGCTTCTATCATTCCCAAATCTCGTCAGAATTGATATATCCTATTGTTACAGATGGAAACATCTTGCACCATTTGGGTAACTTCCTTCTCTCCAATTTCTTAGTGTTCAAAACATGGAATCCTTGGAGTACATAGACAACCATACTGGCAATGGTGACTACGACTGCCTCTCTTCAACATTCTTCCCATCGCTCAAAGAACTTGAATTCAGTGAGTTGCCTAAATTGAAGGGATGGTGGAGGAATGAAGCAGACCAAGAAGCAACTGCAACCACAACTTGTTCACCAGCCCAACACCAACATCATCATCAGCTTTTATCATCATTTCCTTCTCTTTCCAAATTAAGCATCTGGGATTGCCTTAATCTGGCATCGGTGCCTTTTTTGCAATCTTGTCTTGAAACCTTACGACTCCTTTGGGTCAGCGAGAAGCTAGTGCAACAACAGTTAATGATGATGGTGTCCCCAACAATCTCTACCAGTACCACGACAGTTTCAAACTCGTCTTCTTTTACCTTCTTTGCCTTCTCCTCTTTCCAAATTAGTTTTAGGTTCAATTGAGGATCTAGTTACTCTGCCTGAGGAGCTGTTTCAAAGCCTCACTTCTCTCCAGGAGCTTGAGATTAGGATTTATGGAAGACTAACCTCTCTGTCAGGAGGACTGCGACATCTCACCGCCCTCCATTCCTTGTCTATCTGCAACTGCCAACAGCTTGAGCTGTTAGATGATGATGACGGCATGCAATTTCAAGGCCTCAAGAACCTCACGTATCTCCTTATTCAAAATGTTCCAAAGTTGGTATCTCTTCCTGTGGGGCTTCAACATGTTACCACTCTCCAACAACTATATATTGAAGAGTGTGACAATTTGATGGCTTTGCCCGAGTGGATAGGCAACCTCTCATCACTTGAACGACTTTCCATTGAAGGCAACCCCAAATTGACATCACTGCTGGAAGGAATGCACCGGCTTGCTGCATTTCAAGAACTCGAAATTGAATCATGTGCTCAAGTTTTATATGATAGATGTCAGAAAGAAACAGGGAAGATTGGCCAAAGATTGCTCACATCCCAGTTGTTCCTATTGAACGAGAAGCCTGACATACAAGGTAAATACTTTCTGATCTGATTTTTTTAAAAAAAACCATAAAATTGTATCTTATTATTTTCTCTTCTTGTTCAGTGTCACTCTCTTTATTTAAGCTCAATTGATTTTTTTATTTATGGGACAGGTACACAAGACTGGAGGACCATTGCTACAAATATAAATAAGATTGCAACAACTCAGTAATTATTTTCTCGTCTTGTACTTCTTTCTTCCTCTTCTTCTTTGTTTCCCATTTATATATATATATATATACACACACACATACACACGTATATATAAATGTTTTTTGCTTGTGCAATTTCCATTAATGTAGTCTTGTAGATATAGAAAGAAGATCGATACTTTTGTATTTGTCCTTCCCCATAATCTTATTGTTTCTCTTTGACCTTCTCATGAACTATCTCACTGATCAGTTTCTGCATGTATTATGGGGCACCTTGATGAGCTTATTATTGGATTAGTTTTACAGCCTTCTTCTTTTTCCTATTCGTATTTGTTTAAATCTAAAAGGTGAGACGTTTTGTTAGCTTAATTATTATTTTTACTTTTATGAACCACCTTGTGAAATTTTAGGTTTTACCTAATCTGTTAACTTAAAAATGTAAGGGGAAAAATATATCATCTAACAAAAAGAAAAATAGAACTGTCATTCTTGTAATTGTTGTGAAATAATTGTTTAAAATTGTGGAATAGAAAGAAAATGATTTGGATAACTGATTCAAGGCAGGGTCTAGCAGACTTTTCATGGTGTCAGTTTCTAGAGGACATAGTTAATATGTTGAATACAGTGAAGTTGACCATGTTACAACTCCCTTTTGCAAGTCTCAAATAGGGTGAAGTTAGGTTATTTGAGGACCTCCCCTTTTTAGTTGTTCTAATGATTGAAGTCCCCATTTTATTTCTAGTACATTAATAATAATTATTATAATATTCCTTTTTTTGTGGTAAGTATGTCACACGCATGCACCAGAAATTGCCTCTTTATGGGACTTTAACTATCAACATTCCACTTTAAAAGAAGACAACATACCACTAGAGCTAAGCTTTTGGTTAATTGTAAATATGTCAGCATCACAGAGTATCTGAATTAGATACGTCCTTCTCATAGTTATGTTAATAATATTTCTAATGCCCCATCTAATTTTTTTGAATTTGTTTCTTTTTTTGTATGCTTGGAATGACTGCTTATGTCTGCAGCATTCGGATCAAGAGAGTATATTGGTTTTGTGTATGTGAGAAAATCCTTTTGTGTGTGCAATCTTCAAGTGACATTTGACGCTTGTCTTTGGGTGGGTTTTTCTCTTTGTGTAAACCATATACTATTTGGGTATTTCTTGAGAGTGTTGTGTGAGTCTTCTTTGTTGGTGAGTTAGAGGTGTGAGAAGAGAGATTATTGTGGGGAAGAATCAAAACGTTCTTCAGTTTGTAATCTTCTTCTTTATAGTGATACGAATCATCATCGCCCGTGGACGAAACCCTATTCATGAGGTTGACCCACGTATAAATCCTTTTCTCATTTGTGTGTGTGCCTATTTTATTTTTCTTGTCATTAATTTTCTCTTGTTCTCATAAACTCCTATTTGATCCTTTTTTCATAACACTGTTCTGAATTCAGAATTTGCCCTTGTGATCATTTCTTGCCTATTAGATTGGTTACAAAAATCACTTCTCAGTGTGGCAGAATTAAAATTTATTTACTGTTTCACCCTCTGTACAAATTCTATGTTCTGAATTTATGAACTTTCGCAGGTTCTCTCCTCTCTTGGCCTTATCTCATTTTCTATCTCGTATTCATTCGATTCTATCTAAATTTGTTCCTATTCCTTCTTCTATGCAAGTCTGTTTCGGTTGGATACTAAGTC